GTACAGATCGTACGTATAAATCCTCAATCAGATTAAATGTAACAATTAACTTGTATTTGAAATCTTGCAAATAAATGTAATTTCGACTTTGTTTACGTCGTATTCGTGAATTTCCACGTGTAATTCCCGCACTTGAACACCAATTTCCGGTATCGGTGTTATTGATCTCACGCCAGCCAATGAAATTGATAATTTCATCCCGTTTCTCCAGAGTCATGCCCAGCACCTAACCTGCGAACGGGCATACTCTGGGTACGAGATTGAGCTATTTATAGATGTCATTAAGTAAATATTCAAAATTAGCCACTCCCAAGTTGCTCCCAAGTCCCAACTGCCCAAATAAAATAAATTCCTTGATTCTCATCACCGCCCGACTGAATTTTAAAATCCTCGTGAAAATGTTTTATATTTTGTTATACAATATAAATGTACGGCCCGAAAAAATAATTCAAGACAGTTAATTTTTAAATATTTTATATAGGTTTTTTATTGCCATTTTAAATTTCCAATTTGAAACAAACAGAATTTTGAATGAAATTTCATTGTATTTTAAAGAAATTCAGTCATTCTGTCATTGTTCGTGGAGATACGAACTATTGATATATAAATTATATAAATATAGAATATAAAAAATAAATCTCCCACTGTCTTTGACATTTCAAAGTGTAGACTGTGTCTAGTGATGAGAATCAAGGAATTTATTTTATGTGTTAATATAACCAAGCCCGTTTATAGCTGCCTTAAAACGGTGGTTTAATAAGCTCAAAATACAAAGCATACAAGTCTATACTATAGATTCATCATCAGTCAACAACCAAACTGAAAGTATTGAACCTTATAGAACGATAGTTTTTATTTGTTTACAACTATACATATTCAACGGGTATATAAGAGTTTAACAGTTATTTGATAATTACTGCATCAACCGGCCCCTTGTTTATACTTTGGAGGTTCGTATATAATATCTATCAAGTATCTTTGGTTCAGAACATGACTGATAGGCCTATATGGAAATCCCACTGTTCGATTCAGTGAAGAAATATCTACTAATTTCTATCGATAGTTTTAGTAAAATGTCAACATTATTGCGATTTATGGCCTTTGAAAGTCAAGCGAGATAGTATATTATCAAATTAATACGCATGTAATTGTCTGAACGAAAATATAGACTAGCCCATACCTTTCGGCATATTGTAAACACTGGACTGGACTTTGGACTGGACTTTGGACTTTGGACTTTGGACTTTGGACTATGGACTTTGGACTATGGACTTTGGACTTTGGACTTTCGATTTTGAAATTATATTGTTTTTTTAGATTTTCGTATAATTATATTAAAATCTAAACAGAGAACAAAAATTTGCTGCTGATAAGCGTGCTACACTGCATGCACATGCATGATATAATAATATACAAGGTAAAAAATCTCTAGTATCAGTTATATAGGTATACCAGCAGTGCAATTTCATACGGATATAGCCTGTAGGATAGCAGGATTATCCAATATTTTGGGATTTAATATTTACATTTTATATAACATTTGTATTTATAGTATGCATATAGTACAGTATATACTGCAGAACTTCTTCTTTATCATATAGATAATAGATTAATTGTCAGAAACAATTGTGACAAAAGTGTCTCGGCAAATACAAAATATTAACTATACAAGTGATTATTATCGCGCCTGTTGAGTATTGAGTATTGTGACTGTTCATCTTTGCATAATAGTTTATACTAGTACTGCAGTATTGTGTAATTGTTTACTCCGTTACACAGTAACGTTTTGTTAATGTTACTTATTTTTGAAAGACATTCTAGTTAGCTATCCATATCACTATAAGACTAAGTGCTTCAGTTATTATTAATAAGTGTTAGTAGATGGACAGGAATATTCGACAACGGAAATTTACACACTTTTAAGACCTACTCAGTTGTGTGTGAGAAGGCAAAAATCTATGTCTAGGCCTATGTGCTTCAGGTAGTCTAGCAACTATTTGCCACGTTTACTGTAATACTACCACTTGCAAGTGATGAACCAGGCGGGAATCGCGATCGTAGTATAAAGATTAATGCTCAGCCGCATAACGTACGCAAAAGAGCCATATATAGACAATAATATAGACATAAATATATACATAAAGTAATACTAATTACTATAGATTATCATAAGTAATCAGTACTACCAATTATATAATAATGTATCATACATTCGTATTTTATAAAGTATGATGCGGACTATGAGAGTTTTCGTGTTCACTATGGCTGAATACATTTATGAAAAGCTAAAACTGACACAGACAAAATACATTGTAAACACAGCCTATTTAGGCAGGCGCTAAACCGGTGTAAACTATTATGCAAAGATGAACAATATACCGTCATTAGTATTTTTGCGCAAGTGAATAAATAGTACAACAAATCCTACAAGTTGTCAAGTTGATTGGTCAAATTTGACAAATTCCCTAGCCTCCTTCGCAGACATCAGAGAGAACTACACAACTGGCGCTGCGAGGGAGACTACAAATTCCCGGATAATCACGGCCTCGCCTTCGGCGAATAATTGTTCAAAGCCAAAGGCGCAATAATAATCGCGTGTAGTTTATACTTATACGTGATAGTTTCTCAATATTTTGTATTTGCCAAGCTACTTTTGTCGCAATTGTTTCTATAAATCTATTATATATACGATAAAGAAGAAGTTCTGCAGTAAACTGTACTATACATACTATAAATACAAATATTATAATAAAATTTAAATATTAACTTAAAAATATTACTGAGATGATCCTGTTATCCCACAAGCTATATCTATGAAATTGCACTGGTATACCTATATAACTGACAGTATTTTTTACCTTGAATATTGTATCATGCACAAATTTTCGTTCTCTGTTTAGATTTTAATTAATATAATTATACGAATATTTTAAAAATATAATTTCAAAATCGAAAGTCCAAAGTCCAAAGTCCATAGTCCAAAGTCCAAAGTCCAAAGTCCAGTCCAAAGTCCAGTCCAGTGTTTACAATATGCCCATACCTTTCGCCGATCATAACTTCGGCCCCTTCGGACGTATCTCCTTTGTTAAATATTCTTGTTCGAATCTCTATCAAAAACACTATTACTACTACTATAACACTCTAGTGTTATTTTTCAGCTTGTATCTTTTAATTTGCTTCTGATTATGTTATTCCATTTCTGGTCTGACTTGACGTGAACTAATTTCAAAACGCAGAGTTTCAAAACGTCAAAACATTTGGTTAAAGATTAACATTTAACCGAATTTAGCCGTTGATTGACAACTACATAAAAATACTAACCAATCCGTTTTTCCCGTTCACCAGCGGACGGGTAATTCAAAAACCCCTAGTTTTGCGGCAGACGGTATTTCCTTTGCTTCCCTAATTTTCGCTGCCCGTAGAAATACCGCCTGCCATGCAGGCTACGTCCCTGGCGCTTTGATGTGCTTACTGGTTGCGTGACGCACGCGCGGGAATCGAGGTGCGTTGCTCACTACGGGACGCGGAAGCGCCTCGCAGAAAACGTGTCGATTTCTGAAATTTCTGTCGATTTCTGAACTTTCAAAGCCATTGTTCGATTTTCTTGATTATTTTGCTTTATTCACGACGGAATCATGGACGAGATCAGTGAATCTCTTCACAATATTTCCTTTGAAGGTAAATTTGTATGAATTTGTCTCATTATATATTTTAATATGATTTATTGTCTTGTTGACTGCTATAATTTTATAATTTTAATATTATGTGAACCAAATATTTATATGAAAATCATTCTGATCAACGTGTTCGTAGGGTTTTAAGGCTGCGTATGATTTCGGAGTCCTTTATACTGTACATTTATATTTATTTAGTATTAGTAAATTTTCCCTGACAAATTTTGAGTGATATCTTTGCCAGGTTCTTGTAGCAGACTAGCAGTTATTAATAATTACAGTGTAGTTGTATTATTAAATTGTCAATTCATGACAGACAAGTGAAAAAAGGTTTTGCCATGCCAAAGATATCAGATTCAAACCATTCAATACCCATTGCAATCAAGCAATTACCACAAACATATAACCCCCCCCCCCCTATGTATAATCCCACCATCCATATTTACTCGGGCGATTCCGAATATAAGCCACCTCTAATGTAAGCCCCTCGACAGGTATTTATTAGTGCAGCGAGGGCCAGGAATCCAACAGCTCAGTCCATCAAAAATGCTTACAAAGTACAAAGAAATATAAGTTAGCCCAGGGCTTATATTCAGAGGTTTACAATATTCATCTGGCCAAACATACTGTAGTTCTATAAATCCCACAGTCATTAGAGTTGTAGTTCTAAAAGTATTTGTAGGAATAAAAGGTGTACAGTACATGTATCAGCCACCTTGGCATTGACCAAAATTATGCCCTGACAATTAAACAATTTTAAATTGATTGATGACATGTTTGAGAGCAGCTTCAGTGGTGGTGTCCCCAGTATTGGAGTAGAGCCCAACATTTCAGTTAGACATTCCTTGTGAACCTTAGATCAGTTGTGATATATTGTAATGTAAAATGAAACTTTGGGAGTTAAGAAACACAATTAATGCATTAATGGACAAGGCTGTCCCCTTGAGAAGTAAAATTGCCTGCCATTAGATGGTCTGAAAGTAAAATAACAAGCTTGGGTGCATGGCAGCCTAATGGGTTAACTTAATAGTTGGCTGCAATTACCTGTTGTAGGCTTTAAAGTTGGTTTCAAACTAGGGCTTGTAAATGCCAGAACTCATATGTGAAAAATTGCACGAGTCAATTTATCTGACATACCATAATGAACCATTAGGTTGCATTGCATCCTACTTTATTATGTTACTTTGTCTAAGTGTCTAACACTGACAATTTTACTCGTCAACAGGAGAGTGCTGGCACTCAATGGGTTAACATATAAATGTCTATCTGAACAGTTGGGTTTGGGTTCTTCTCTAAAGTAAATTTCCCTGTAGTCAGATTGTGGGATATGTGACTCAATATTTCTTCAAAGTGTGTTCCAATGATATGTAATGTCACTATTTTATAAGCATAATGGACATTTCTCATTCAGGGTGATGTAAGTCATGTGGAAAAGAGATTAATACAAGTTTGAATGTTCAAATCGCAAGAGTAGTGGTGTAGTGTTACACTAGCACTTGCCAGACCTAATTGGCAGAACTAACAATGACTTTTCTCTATAACTTTGTGGATCAAAACCTGGAACAGCGAAAGAATAGCCTATGGAGCTACAAAGTTATAATAATACTCTATTACATGTAACTTGATTGTATAGTTAGGTTTAATAATTATTAATTTAAAATAATACAAAATTAATCAAGATTTTGCATCTTTAATTTTCAAACATGTTGCTTGGTACTCAGTTTCAATAACAATGTCAGTAGCATGCATTCATTGTTGGAAATTTCTGCGTCTCTATTGTTTTGACAATATTGTCATGACTAATTTTGTTGTTTTGACTTTATTTTGATCAAGTCAGTCTGGTTAGTGTTTTATATAGCCACAAAATATCCTCCCAGTATAACTGAGATGTTGCTTGTTCAAGTGAGATGTTGCCTTCTTCAAGTGAGATCTCTCTGAGCCAGTCAGGTTGTCCATACAAATTGAAAGGAATTTCCACTATAAAAATATTAAAATAACCACACAGTGAGGTCTCGCTTACTGGGCTAGCTGTCCGCATTAACAGCCCATAACCTCAGGGACAGAAAGATGGCAGTACTAGAAACAATTTAAAGGGGCAGCACTGTCACAGCGCTGATTGGCTAAAATAAACAACGCAAAGACATGTTTAAAATTAATGCTACATGATTGGAAGATGCAGCAGCCTTCAATTTTTAAAACAAAGCAAGGATGTCCTGCATAACGAAGGGATTATAAATAGTATATCGCATTTCACTCCTAACTTGACTAATTGTTGTCAGAATTTTTTCAAGTTCGCGCATATTTTGGATGCGCAGCAGAACCATGACACTGCCCCTTTGATAACTTAATATACACATGCAACAAACTATCAGAGAGGACATAAACTACAATCCTAGATATAAAACATGCCTTCTCACTTCTCAGATCAGCTTCCCCTAGCAGCTGAGCTCTGTCCTGCACCAGTCCACCACAAGCTCATGATGCCTAACAAAACCCTTGACTAAATATGTAAAACCTTAATTCCCAATTTAATATACTAGCACATCATAGTTTCATCTCTTGATATACCTGTACTGTGCAACCATTTAATTTCGGGATTGAGGGATGAAATCATAGGCGTACCGGGCGGGGGGGTGGGGGGGGCGGCAGCCCCCCCAGTTTTTTGGGCAGTCGGGCAATATTCGATGAACAGTCGGGCAATTTTGGTTTGCAATAAAAAAAAAATGGGTCAAATTCTGTCAATTTTGTCTAAAATTAATTCAATTTTTTGGCAAATTTTGTTTTTTTCGAAAATTTATGTTATGCTCCGGAAAAATTGTTTGTCCGGAAAATTTTTTTGACCCCTAAAATGGTACACTGACCGAAATTTTTTTGGCGACGGGGGGGGGAGGTCGCCAAAATAATTTTTCCGGAAAAATTTTTTTGGTCCTAGTCGGGCAGAATCCCGAAAAGTCGGGCAGAATCTCGAAAAGTCGGGCAATTTTCTTGCCGCCCCCCTAATTTTTTCCTTCCGGTACGCCCATGGATGAAATTATCGCATAAAGTTACAGTAAATACAAAAAGGTTTTATATCTACAACCACACAAATATTTGTGGCTTATTTTCTAAAAAATAAAGTCTACCACTTATTCCCAACATTTTTTCATGAATTCCAGGAAATACTAAAATAGTAATTTGAATTTTAAAATGTTTACCTGTTTATACTGACCATCTTCACTATCGTTGTCAAGACAAAAATGCAAATCATATCACTTGTTTTGTCCGCCATCTTGAAAGCAATTTCTCCCAGGCCACAGAGTAGATAAGACATACAGAGACGTAACTGACCGTCGTAAACACTGCGGAAGATTACGTTATCATGTACCCACTTTTTTTCAGGCGATCGGGCGAAAAATGATCAACTGCGCGTACTCAGCAAGTTTAAAGTGAGTCGTCATCAAGTCGTCATCCAATCAATCAGATGCATGCATCTAGTAACTTGCCGAGCATGCGCACAAAAAAAGTGGGTACACTAGTTACGTCTCTGTATGTCTCTACTCTGTGCCCAGGCGCTTCGCTCCGAATTTTTCCTTTTCCCCCACGCGTGTCCTCCCGCGCGCGCGTCACGCAACATCTTAAGCGCCGGGAACGAGGCTGAGGTGAGGCCTTAACCTGAAGTTCATGCCCTATCACAGAATAGGGCCTGACACAAAACCTATCTAAAGTGTGGGATTCCCGTCCACCTGGTGGACGGGAAATCTGATTGGTTGATCAGCATCATGAAGGATTTTGATTGGTTGCAAGTTCATATAAACAACAGTTTTAAAAATAGCTCGGTCAAGGCGAGAATTAATATAAAGGTCAAACGCACGTAACAAATTCCATTATCGATTTCTTCGAATTTCTTTTCTTTTCTGCTTTATGGAAGAAAATAAATCAAACAAACAGTATTTTGAAAGGGCTTCATCAAAATCTTTGACGAATTTTGGACACACACGACGCTGAAAGAACAGCCAAACTAGCCCTGTATTCGAAAGCTTGTTGTTGACAGCCAAGATGTTCTGCCAACTTGCTTCGCCGGCAAAAGTCTTATTTTTAATATCAGGTCCTACCGGCGTTGTTTTCTGAGCTACATCGCCTTCTTCGTGGTATGATTGAGAATTTAATTGTTGCTGTTATTAGCCCGTTAGTCGTTAGAGTATATCCGCGTCCAGCAAGTTGAGACCTTGAGAAAGCTTGGGCCTTGGCAGTCAAGCCGTGCACAGAACTGACTAATTAAATCTTTGTTTGCTGTTCTCCTGTTCGGTTAAATAGAGAAACTGACTCTTAATTATATAAAAGTACCTTGAATTTTTAAGTTTAATTAAAAAGTAAAATGCACACTCTGCGGATATGTTCATGAGAATATAATATTTTTGTGTATTTAAACGAAATCTACAGCACTTGTCAATCATATTGCATGTTGTGTCTAAAAATAACATGTGGGCGTCCCACGGTCTAGACAGGTTTTGTGTCAGGCCCTATTTCAAATTAGGGCCTGAACTTCAGGTTAGTGAGGCCTCGGCCACTAACAACGTCTGCGCAGGAGGCTATAAGTGACGAGGTGTTTGTAGGGGACGACCCGGTTCGGCCGATTAAACTAAGTTTGAGCCATCCCGTAACTGTTATCCTCGTTAAAGCAGTGTTAATACTTACGGGAGAGTCCACCAGAGTTTAAACTGGATATGAACACTTCGGTAATTTTAAGTTAATCAATTATTAATTTTTACATTTGAAAACCATGCGCTATAAAGACGCCCCAAGTTTCCCTTTTAAACACTTTTTTAACAAGTTTTCAGTTTCTCGCGTGCGCGGAATGTTATCAAACATTTATCTGACATAGGAAGTATTTTTTGTACACCTGTCAAGCTTTCACTTGGCAGTTGGCCCTCGTCCGAATTTTCCTTGTCCGAAAGTTGGCGTGACTAGCCAAAAGGAACTGAACAAGGCTCCAATTGGCAAGGAAAATTGACAATTTTTTTGCCGTACACACAAGCAAATAGACTTGTCAAGAAAAACGTGCTCATCTGTATGGGACTTTAAAATGATTCTGTTAAAACAAATGACCAATCGTCAGAAATTCTAAAGAGAATATTTTCTAATAGGTTATTTTAACCGTAAATATGCTAATTTTGACCCTATTGATGTTTATAAATTGCTATCCTACGTAATAATAACACCTCGCTAATCCATAGAAAATGCGTCTGGTCATAACGACGACAGCATAAAAAGATTAGCTACAGCTTCAGAGAAATAGAAACTCCCTGATCTGTGTCGAGGGTATATTTCACTTGGACTCGAAGTAAATATTTATTGGTATGAAACATTATGTTTACCACTCAACAAATCGACTATTTTTATTGCCATAGTAACAAAACGATAAATTGTAACACGAACCAATCGAATGAAGTTGACATTCTATTCGAACACTAAAGTTATTTGATATAAACATAATTAATAAATGTCGCTACTCCACAGTCCTAATATGTCACTTGGAATTTCTTAGGTCAACACTCGCTAAGCGACGAGAGATGAAAAGAAATAATAGCAAATCGTGTTGGCCGTAAACAATGCAGGAATAATATAACTTGTAGCTGTAAATCGATGGTATTCGTCGGCCTGTTTCTGCTCCTACGGTGCTGGTTTTTGAACGGTATGGTGTATGGAATGCGTGTTAAATTTGTGGCGTCTTTACTGATATGTAAACTACCGCAAAGTTTCTGACAATTTGATCTGCTTATCCTCTGTCAATTCGGACAGGCTTTCAAGAATTTTAAATCACACAGTGTAATACTAGAAATGTCTAGATTTTAGACTTCACAGATAGTATTTATACTATTAAACCAGCGAATCGTTTGGGTTTATTTATTAAACTACAAAAGTCAATTTGTTACATTATTATGTCTCGTATAAAAGGCGACCCCGACGTCCTAAAGGCTAAGCTATCCAAAAAGATTGCCGAATTGAGTTCGGTTGTACAGTTATTGTTTACGCGCAACCATGAGAAGGAACTCGAGCTGTCGGCCACCAAGAAAGCTTGCCAGGATGAAATTCGTCGAGTCACCGAAGAAGGAAAGAGCAAACTAAACTGGCTTGAGAAACAGCTGGACGATTTAGAGCGATTTCGAACCTTACTTGAGATGAAGACGGACGAATGTGAACGTACGAAAGCCACCGTCGAGACGCTTCACGAGAAGCAGTTGCAAGCCGAACGAAAAGTGATCGAACGTGGCACGATGCTGAGTGAAGCGTTAGCCGAAATCGAGAACTTGAAAAAGGATATTGCAGCTCGCTCGCCTGAAGAGGTCGAAGCGTTAAAACGCGAAAAGTTGGAACTGTCAAATGAGCTTTCGAGCGAGCGAGTAAATTTGACCCAACAAAAGGATTTAGTATGTGATTTACAAAATAAAGTCGAACTCATTGAGGCTAACCTCAGCAATATGCTAAGCGAAAATCAAACTTTAAAACAAGAATGTACGCAGCTAAAAGACGATTTATCGTTCGCACAGGACGAAGTTCGCACGCTAACGCATTCTCTGCACGAAGCGAAACGACATGGGGAACGAGCGCTTCAGAGGACTCGGAAACTTGAAGAAAAAAATAAACAAATCGCAGCTGAAAAATCAGCTTTGGAGAGGAATAGTGAACAGTTAAATGAACAAATGAACAAGTTACTTTTAGCAAAACAGTTTGGAGATAAGCCGATGACGAAGATTAGGCCTTCATCTCCCAAGACAGTGGATATTACTGCATTAGCATTCGATAAAATAAAGCCAAAGCCGACACAGGTAATTATATAGAGGGATTACTCCAAATCCCTGTTTGTTTTTACAACTTTTATATTAGATAGTACCAGTTATATTCATTTCACTCAATTCACTGGATAATACCAGAGTGGTGACTCTAAATCCCATGCGAGGCACTCTCCCCTATACTAATATTGCATCTATGTGGTAACAGTAAATAGTACATAAACATACACCAATTGCCCAATTCAATCTATCCAAAATGAGTATGCTAATTAATATCCTACAGCACGCGCGATAATATCCTGTCAACTCTCATCAGCTCTTTTTCTCGTTTGACCGAGCCGAGCAATGAGAGCCGTTGAGAAAACTCTATTTATGCAACCACGGATAAACACTATCCCGTTTTGTTGGATAGCGCGCTATCCAGACTTCAAACAGCCCAGGGCATTATGTTGTAATTGGAAACGGTAAGAAAATATTTCAATTCTCATTTTAGAAAGACGACGAGGTTCAGTTCCTGAAAAACGAAATAGAGAAATATCGTCTTGAATTGAAAAATAGAGAAGTGAATTTCAACCGCGTGTTTGCTGATAAAACTCCACTCATTATAAAGAAACCTGCAGAAATCACGGCTGAAGAAATGGTGGGTAATTTTCACTATTTTATAAACTGAATAAAAATTTGTTAATGCATGGTACAGTAAAAGTAACCACCTGACATTCTGTGTATTTTTTGTCGAAAATTTATAGTTTCAAAAAAGCTCATTATGTTTTAAGTCATATCTTGAATTTCAAGGCCGGAAAAATCAACTAAACTACCATCTCTTGGGAAAAAAACTTTGACCACTCTACCACAGAGTAATTATATACAGAGGTCTCACTTCCGCGAAAAAAACCGTAAAGTAGTTTTTGCTGCGCATATCTGCCGGTCATGTTCTTAGCAAATGCCCTAAGTGAGGCATTCCGCATTCACACCCCCACCCCCCCGGGACATTAAATTTCAATATGTTTTCAGGGGTCGACGGCCTCTCTTTAGGGAACTTGGCTAAGAACATAACGGGCATTACGCTAAATTAACCTGAAGTGAGACCTCTGTATGTAATTACTCTGTGGCCCAAAGTTGGGAATTCTACATCCTCGTTCCCAGGGCTTCTCGGCTGACAACGCAGGCAGCCGAGAAACCTGGGAACGAGGATGGGAATTCTACGCAATGACGAAATTTAACATATTTTGCGTTCTCTTTTCCTTGTAGCGTTTGAGGAATTTAACGGGCTTGACAAGTTTCAAAAAGACGTACACTACATTGCCTTCTGTTGTCAGTGCAGAGTCTAAACCTGTCAATGGTTTCCATTCAACAAGGATGAGGAAAATGAAACATTTATGAAGATTTTGTATAGCATTATTATAGCTTGTATTTATATTATTGTAATAAAACCAAAGGCACTAAACCAAAAACACCTTTAAAAGAGTTTATCAAATAACAGCAGGGTTATTTCTTTCCCCACCCCTAACGTTGCAAGTGTCACTTTTTTCCCTATCTGGGAGCGGTCTGCAGGGAAGACTGATACCTTTGACAAGTGGTGAGGCCAAATCGTATCGTAAATTCTTTAATATATTTTGTCAGTGTTGCTTTAAGTTATTGTGTTTTAAAGTTGTTGTGACCTATTTTAACATTAATAGGACTTCAAATGCATGTGTACTCTAAATAATGTCCTAAATAATGTCCATTGCGTTTTCAAAATATTTGTTTTCAACATTTTTTGGATGGGTCAAGTTGTCCAATATATTGTAAACCATGCATGGGAATAACTCATTTTCATAATTCTATTTTTTATAACTTTCATTGCTTTATTCTATGCTTTTTCATGCCACTTAAACCCCAAATATATATTTTTTGAATATATGTGTAATACTTGGATCAGTCTAGGAAGAGGTGTAATATCTTTTTATAGTATCAAAAATCTCATGTTGATCAACTTTTGCACTGTTAAAGTTTTTGGATATGATTTCATTTGTTGTATTGCAAATAATTAGCTTTCCTTTGTTTTTTGCTCCAAAAATTCATCTTATTCATGGAATGACATCATACAAGGAATACTTAATTTCATTGCTAATTATTATATGCTTTTTCATAAAGTGCCACTAACCCCAACTATGATGTTTTGTATATATTTGGATCATTCTAGTGAGAAGTGTAACGTATCTTTATGGAAAAAAACCTTAAATTGATTAATTTTTTCACTGTTAAAGTTGTTGGATATGATGTCATTAGATGTATTGCAAATTAGCTTTCCTTTGTTTATTGCTCCAAAAATCCAGGTACTAAAGTAGCCATGAAGGACTAGCCCAGTTAGTTGGCTAATGACATCATACAAGGTCAGTGAAAAAGTTGGTCAAGATGAGCTTTTTTACTATAAAGATATATTGCATTTCTTCTAAGAATGACCAAAATTAATAATACCAAATATGCATACCAAAAATCATATTTGGGGTTAAAAACCTATTTGATGCTAACCAGTCATACAATTGAATGAGAGACTTGCATATTTTAGTATTACACTAATATTAATAAATTATTAATAAATATTAATAACCACTCATAATTATGAGAGGATGCCTCCCATTAGCAAACATCATGCCTTGGTTCTGAGGGTGTCCACTTATGGGAGGTTTGATTGTATACATAACTAGATGTCACATAATATATACGGTACTGTATGCATCCTCGATAGCTGCATGTACATGTAACACCTTACTCTGAACCTTTGCTGACTTCCTGTTCTACCAAACCCCTCACTCTATCAATAGTCAAGCCATTTTTATTTACCAACACTGATTTAATCTGAGATCTTAATCCTTTCTCAACAATGATGTTTGTTTTCCTTAGTCGCAATATGGATGCGAGATAAGTCACCAGTTCAGCATTCGCTTCGCCTTCTCGAGCTGGAGCACCCACTCGAACTCCAATACAATCATCTGCTATATCTAAAATGAAATTACATCGTAAGGCCAAAAAAGAAAGAAATACCTGCGTTTCCTATTTCTCCTTGCAAAAACTTAGGTAGGGTAAGTAAGGGTTTTTTTTGTTCACTTTTTTTTATAAATTTAATACTCATGCATGAAAGTGATATTCTATGTCAATTATGGCAGCACAAATGGCACAAACATTTGTATTTAATACTCATGCATGAAAGTGATATTCTATGTCAATTATGGCAGCACAAATGGCACAAACATTTGTTAAATGTTATATTAACTTTGAAACAAACAGGTTATACTTTATATAGATAGCACAAAACTAACTCTACAAACTAGGTTGGAAACTTCAGATAACAAGATTAGGGTCAGTGATTCAGTAGCCAAAAGCTATAGGTAGGGACGGGAAACCAACATATTTTTTCTTTGGACTAACAATAAATCGAGTTGAGTTAATCTATTTTGGGTATGTATGAGAGGGAGGGGGGATTATTGAAGAAAGAATGCTATAAATCAGGCCATGTGCTGAAAGGTACTTGATCAAGTACCCAAAACTAATGCGTCCCTCAAATCATGTGTGCACGTCCATGAATTTCATCAGGGTTTGAATTAGCAGGTAGCTGCCAATTCGCAAGCCTGATTTTAGCATAAATTGAGAATGAAAATTTCTATTTTTTTCAAATTGGGCACATTGCATCATTCCACAAAACATCCATATCACGCCTAGAGAGGAAATTGGAAGTTAACCCTCCTACCCCCTTCCCTAATACTAATAAACTTACAATACTACAGTATTATCAGAAACAAATTCTTCTCTGGACGGCAAGAAATTTCATCTGTGGGGAAAGTGCATGAGTGTTGATCTTTTCTGGAACGACCCATTAGGGCCCAATGCAAGTCTGATTCACCCATTATAAGCATCACAATGTTTCAACATGAAAACACGACATGTTTCCCAAGTGAAAAGATCATCCTTAGTTTTGGTATTAAATACTAATTTTGTGCATACAAGTGGACCAGCATTTAAAATATTTATATTTGCTAACGTTTTTGAAGACATAAATATTTAATATGTTACTAATTAATATTATTCAGCAATCTTTCACCAAATATAATAATATTTCCCAGCTTGCCCTCTCAGAAACCAAAATAATATATAATTATGTTATTATAGTATCACCTGTTATTCCACTTTGCTTCGTTCCTGGTTTGGCCAATATCCTAAGAATGATATTTCCATTTTGTCTTTGTGAAATGGCCGGCAAGGAGCTATCAATGTTTGCAAAACACTTGTCGTTTATATCTGTTCGTACAATTCTTTTCGTTGTTGAAGGCTGGCTGTGTTGAGCTATTCGCGGACTCCTCCGTTTCGTCTCGGGTGATTTAGGTATTTGCTTTCTGCAACGTGAAAGCATGTCCATCTTGAATTTGCTGTGAGCTCGAAGCGAGAAGGTTCGTGTTATTAGAATGTTGTATGACATCTGTTGCATTTGGCCATTTTTGTTTACATACGGTAAGCACTTGTTTCCATCTACGAAACTGACGTGACATCATTTCCGGAAGATAGCATTTGTAAATTCTGAACGCTGATTGGTTAAGAGCGGTGTTGATATAACTCAATGTCAACACGGAAAATTTCTTTCTTTACATTTCTTTGTGCTATATTATAAAAAAAAATATAAAACATTTTTCCGTATTGATATACAGTTATATCAACACTCGTGGAGATTGGAAAAATCGAAATTGTTTTCCCAATTTCCACTCGTGTTGATAGAACTGTAAATTACTGTATATCAACGCGGAAAATGTTTGTAACTAACTCAAATATTACCTCTACTCTAACCCAGAGACTCTAACCGTAAGCTTATTCAAACTAAAATAAATCCAAAAAGAATCAACTTTAGAAATTGATCGAATCATGACGTAATGTCAGTTTGATGGTTGGAAACGAGTGAAAACTTTAAAATAGCTACATCTAATTTAATTAGCCTACGTTCAGGCTCAAACTCTAAGCGCGCAAAGCTTAATGGGAGCACAGGTTTCAAGCTTAGAAGATGAATATTGCAGCTATTTGTGAATGACTTGTTCTCGTAAGAAGATATTCACCATTTCTCTAAGAAATGGGCCCCATATATGATTTTTAAACTGATTAAATGAAGACTGGAAATTACCAGTCCATATACATATACCTAGGCATATACATATACATATATATATACATATATACATATATATATACATATATACATATACATTAAAGAGCATATACACACATATATATTATTACATACATTACATATTATTACATATTACATACACACATGAGCAGTTATGAGTGAAAGAGAGAAAGTATATATATATAGAAAGACATACATATATGAGCAGGAGCAGTATATATATATACATATATATATATACATATATATATATGGAGAGAAAGAGAGGAGGAGAGTGGAGAGGAAAGAGAAAGAGAGAAAGAGGAAAGATATTATTATGCCACATGAGCACACACACAAGGCATGGCTATTGACAATACATATTATTGTTGGTTGGCTGGTCATTACACACATTACACAGCTGAGCACATTGAAGGAAGGAAGGAAGAGTTAAGGAGAAAGGAAAGAAAGCATATGTATATACATACATATACATATAAGGGTTATTATTATTATTATGTTATGTTGTTATTAGAAAGAGTATATATATATATATATATATATATATACATATATATATATATATATATACATATATATATATATATATACATATATACATATATACATATATACATATATACATACAGTTCGTCTGTGATATGTTTTGCTTTAATTTGCATACATTTTTCATAATTATCGAACTCCTGAATTAGTTTGGCATTCAAATTCAAAGCTGTGCGCAACAGGTGACTGCATGTGGTTAAAGTCACAATTCGACCAATACTATAGCTATATCTAAGCCACATCAAACAGAATAAGGACGTTTGATTGGTCTCTTTTAAAAAGTAAATTATAACTTGAGGTTCTCATTTGCAGTATATTTGTCATTTTCAGGTGATAGACATGTAGATATTTGCGGATATCAATTGTAAAGCAATATACAAAAATGACATATTGTTGATATTATTTCAGTTTCTATATAATTTTTCGCATGAGTGCAGAGATTTGTATGCCAACCTGAAAAGTCAAAACAAATTCATTCAAAAATGCCGAACAATTAGCTATATATACATTTAATCATACAGAAGGTATATATCTATAAGGGATCGGTATTCGCTGCAGATGTCAATTGCTAACGAAGCCACAACGTTGACAAATGATGACGGTGCTAACATCGGATCGAAAAACGAATGATACATGGTTTCTTCTACGGAGCGTCCATAATACATGTGAAATGGTAGGAATTCTGGGTGGATTTTGCTCGCTATGGCATATAATATTCAACTTTCAAACATTTAAAGAATTCACATGAAAGAGGAGTAATTTTGAAACTTCAAAAATGAACTCTTGCAGGTACTATTTGAAACTTTCATTTATTCCAAAATGTCAATCATTTATAGATCATTCCAAGAAACGTGAAACGAAATAATCGTATTATGTTTGGGGAAAATGTTTCAGTTAAACTGCTATATAGGTATTCACGGACCTAATTAAAGTGAACACAATGATTTTTAATGAGATTTGATTCAAACTCAATATGCATGGAAAGCACATTTCTGGCCTTGATTATAGTTAAACCCATAGTGGATAATCAGTTAAATCAATATACTATCAGCTTTAGATCAGGGCAGCTATAGCATTGATTCTGTGGCACTGATTTATATATTCCAAATTCCAATCGATTTTAGTGCATGCATGGACGCATCGCAATCTATAAAAGCTTCGATTTTGAAACATAGCGAACTCCAGGGTTCCTAGTATACAGTAGGCGTTTCTACCATATTGTAATTGGATATAGTGTTGTATAAGCCCAAAAGCATGTCAAGTATTAATTTGGTTTTAAAATAGAGATATTTCGCCTGCTCTCAATATAAAGATTCCATCTTTTCATCAAGAATAGGAGTCTGTTGGTTTTCAACAGCAAGAATCCACCAAAATGGCTGTGGTCTATATAATTAAATGTTCTTGAACGACTTTCTTCTCATTTTTTTTTTTGTTTCTTTCCTGCTGTATATATTCTTGTCCATTTATAAATATAGTATCAAACAACTGTTTCTGTAACTGCAAATTGAACTAAATATATAAGAACGTGGAATTGTATACTGATAAAGGCTTGAAAATTTCTAGATCATTCTAGATCAAATGGATGAAATCATCACGCGCATGGTTTCTAAATATCTATAATTTATGGACATGCATGAATATACATGAGCCACGATTTCGAAGAGACAAGTGTTGCATGTGATGATTTCGCTTCTTATGGGTAAGTTTGTGACTTTTGCGTTTTTACATTGATGTTACGCAGACGAAATAGGATTTATGACTGATATACTTATAGCTCGGCTATGACAAATTTGATGATAGGTTTATTACAAAACGGGTTTTGGACTCATAGACAGCACAACATGGCAGGAATAATTATATTTTTAACAAAGGCTGCAACATGTATGTTGCCAAAATGTGCTTCTTTGAAACTGAGCAAACAGAATAAAAACGTTTGCACACGTTTTGCCACACCCAGTTAATACGATACTCGTATGAAATAGGAGCCTTGCGATTATAACAAAATGGTAAGAGCTAACAGGTGCAAGCTAATGTATATGCAAGCTAAGAGATTTTCTCTGACTGTATAGAAATAGTATAATATGGTATATAACAACATTAGGCTAACTCTTATTGAATTAGTTAGCAATAACTATATCCTGGAACCTATTGTTGCTATAGATAAAAGCATGTCAAAGTGGATTTATTACTACGTATATATACCGCACATGACCCAATTGAACTTTGATCAGAATTGATCAAAACATATTTGATAATGCATGCATGCAGTCATTTATTGAAAATGTAGGGTGACAGATTTTAAAAGGCTAACCTGTAGTTTTTATATATGTATTATTATATACATGACTATTATTATATATATATATATGACTTAGTTAATATATAATACCTCATTTTGAAAACGACGTTTGATAGCCACATCCTATGCATGTTCAATAAAGCAATATATACACATGCATGTATGTTTTGTCCAGCACTTTATTTTGGTGGTATAGACACAGTATGATAACAGTAAGTATAGAATGCAAGAATATTTCAAAGAAAGAAAATTGAATCAGATATGGTAAAACATCATGCAGTTCTGTAAATTTAGACCAAACCCTTGTCAACCAATAAACTATATACATATGTTTTATAAACTTTGTTGGTGATAGCATATACTTATAGCTAAACATGAACATGTAGAGTAAATGAAAGTTCTATAGACATGCATGTCATAACTTAGGGGGAAATTAGAGGCCCATTGGGGAAAATTAATAGGTCATTGGGCATCAATCTTTTTTAAACCGCTGTATAGTTTATTGTTAGTTTTTGGGTATATATAGCCTGCATGTAAGTATATATATATAGAATTGCAAAGAAGATGGTTATAAACTTAAATATAGGTTTGCAAATCCTTATGAAGTTAAACTGCTAATTATGTACTTATTCTGAATGTTTACTGTTGGTAAATTTTGAATAGCTTGTACATAAAAAAGGAAGAGATTTGAAACTAGGCTATTGGCTGCATTTGGCTAGCCTAGTATACAAGACTATTTCAGAAGCAAGCATTGGCTGCATTTGGCTAGAGTATTTCAGAAGCAAGCATGCATGCATGCTTAAATATCAGTGCATTTGCACCAAACCTATACTAAAACACATTCCATTATGTTTACATGCAGTAAACATTCTTATTTTGCACTTTATCAATTAGCAGGAAGAAGTATATCAATTAAACATTACATGGTTATTTTCTGAACCTTTAATCAAAATATATTGCACTTACTGAAATAATAACGGTAGATTTTGGCTGATCTGTAATTTGAGCTTACAAAAGCATTCCCATGCAAAAAAGTAAATAGGGTTAAGCTCATGTTAGAATTTGGAAGGGATTTTTGATAACCACACCCTAAAAATGCATGAGAAACAAAGCATTACACATGTATATTTTCATCTGTCAGTTATAAGTATGATGTAAGAGTATTTCAAAAAGCCAATTGCATATGGTAAAATAACATCTTTGGCCTGTATGCATTTAAATGTTAATATGCAAATATCAAAGAAGCAAGCATGTTTGTAAATTCAGTAATTTAATTAAAGTATAACCCTATTGACCTAGTATAAGCTTACTGTTGGTGGATTTTGGGTTGCTGTATATATAGATAAACAAAGAAAGGCTACGTATTTGAAATAAAATTAATATGCAATTTGGAAGTATAGTGTATTAGGTTAGTTAAAGGTTAGTAATATGCAAGTATAGTGTATTAGGTTAGTTAAAGTTAAAGTATTTCAATAATGACACATGCATATATGGTTGCATAAATATACTGCATAAATATTATCCTGCTCTTACTAAAATAATGATAGATTTTGCTAACCTGCAATTTGTGTATATTTAAGTATTCCAAGGAAAGAGGCAGCTATGGTTATACTATCTCAGATTAGTTGATAGCCTCATGACCACACCCTATTGAATATATGAGAAATAATGCAATACATGTAATATCTGCAAAGCTTCATCATGTTTTAATTCTTACTACAGTTCATTAGTGGTAGATATTGCTTTACCAGTGCTATATGATCATTTCAGAGAAACAATTATGGTTAAACCTGTAGATTTAAACCAAACCCATTTGCACAATACAGCCATACATGCATGCATGTTTATCCTGTACTGCAATGCATGGTGGCATGGTTTACCTGCAAATAAGCAAACAAACGCGTTCCAAATTAAGAATCCAATTTAAATATCTATATATAAATGCATGTAAATTATAGATCAAACCCTATATATAACTTTACCCCTAGAGAAATGCCTTTCACAAGCAATTTCTATTTCTATTCATGTGAAATAATAATTTCACATGCAAAACTAGATTTTCAGATACGAACATTCACACAGATGTAAAAGAATTTGCGGAACTAAAGTTTGTGAAAACATGTGAAATGATATGTGATGTTTTCATGTCAGGTTATTTCAAAGAAACACGTATGGTTAAACCTATGTAGTATGTTTAACAGATATTTAACCATAAACTTGGAGTTTCACACATTCTTTCACATGCAAAAATAAGGGTTCATATGGAACAATTCACATGTGAAAAGTTCACATCACAGTTCAACTATTTGAATGAGCTGTAATGTTTTCCTGGAACTTGGTGTTTGTAAACAAATAAAGGTAAAGGATTCAGCATTTCAAGCAAGGTCCAAAAGCCACGCCGTTAGCAGTCATTCAGACAAATCCAATATCTATATCATGTTACGTTGAATGATTTGCATTTCAAAAACCTTGCAATAATTACTGAAAAACAAATGTTTGTATTGTTCCAGGCTTGAACACGATGTAAGGTTTCCTGAATGTGATAAAAGCTTCCTGTCCATATCGTTCGTGAAAAGATATCAGAATGGAAACAGAGACTCAAATTGAAGAGTCCGAGAGACTAGCACCAAATGCTCAGGAACAATCTGGCTCGACCAATAATTCCGATGATGGAGCAAGCAGTAACCCTGCATCAACTGAAAATTCTGATTCCACAGCATATACCCATACCACAAATAATGCAACAGCAAATGGCTCTACAATTACAGCAGTTGATAGTAATCTCCCAACATCACCAGCTGCAAGCAATTCCTTCCTGGCCACAAATGCCAACTCCCCACCAGTCTCCCTTCAACCTTCTACAATTCCAATAGAAGAAGTTGGTTATAATATTCACGAGGAAACAACCAATCCCAGACCAGGACAAAATGCTATAAGCAATTCCTTCCTGGCCACAAATGCCAACTCCCCACCAGTCTCCCTTCAACCTTCTACAATTCCAATAGAAGAAGTTGGTTATAATATTCACGAGGAAACAACCAATCCCAGACCAGGACAAAATGCTATAAGCAATTCCTTCCTGGCCACAAATGCTAATTCCCCATCAGTCTACCTTCATCCTTCTACCATTCCAATAGAAGAAGTTGGTTATAATATTCACGAGGAAACAACCAATCCCAGACCAGGACAAAATGCTATAAGCAATTCCTTCCTGGCCACAAATGCTAATTCCCCATCAGTCTACCTTCATCCTTCTACCATTCCAATAGAAGAAGTTGGTTATAATATTCACGAGGAAACAACCAATCCCAGACCAGGACAAAATGCTATAAGCAATTCCTTCCTGGCCACAAATGCCAATTCCCCACCAGTCTACCTTCATCCTTCTACCATTCCAATAGAAGAAGTTGGTTATAATATTCACGAGGAAACAACCAACCCCAGACCTGGACAAAATGCTATAGGCAGTCCGCCGATACAAGAATCCTTGGCATGGAGTGAGAATGACGAAAGCCCGATCGTTCCTATGCCCGTATGAACACATGCACCAATAAAAAGTTGTATGAGAACATGATATGCAAAGGTTTTATAAATGATCATGTCATAGTAAACGGGTAAAGTAAAGAAAATGGATTAAATTAGTCTTTTTTAAAGTAATACTAATAGTAGTAGTATATTATAGCATTAAAGAATGAACTCTTTTATTATAAAAGACACGTAATGAAAACTTTTAGATAATGAATATACATCAGTTCTCATATATTGAAATAACGGCACCACAAACACTGCAAAAAAGACTGAGAAAAAACACAACTGCACTGAACTACAAAACAAATTGAACATTTTAAATGGGAAATAGTGCATGCATCTACAGTGCCTCAAATGTTTTACTTAAGTGTTCACTTATTTTTTGCAGTGCTATATATAGTAATTTTTGGAGCACGTGAATTTTCATTGGTAAAAGCATGAAATGATAGTGCATTAATTAGTGTTGATTAGATTAGTCTTCAAACCATAATACAGTAGTATCTTTAAAGTCCAATTATATTAATTAGAACAGTAATTTCGATTAGATTAAAAGAAAAGCATTGCATGTAATTGCATGTTTATAGAGATGTATCATAATGATGTAAGGTTGATATTAAGATTTAAGTTGTAGAAATAATACTATTCTTTCATGTGTTTAAATTGTGTGACTGATGAGCCAGGATGACTTGCAAGTGACAAAATCTCGCCTCGTATGTTGTTTGTATATATTTGCGAGGTTTGATTCACATGGGAACCGGGCCAGTCCTGTTTTCCCGGCTCTCGCCAGGGAGATCTCGTGTTCCTAGGCTTACATAAACACACTTATAGGGGGCCAGCCCAACAAAACTGGCTGGAAATTGTGTCACAGCACATGCTTTATTCCATCTAGAAAGCAATCAACAACTTCAAAACAAGTAAGAAATCAACAAAGCAAATATCGCGTTTCCGCCAAAAATCGCGCAGAAAGTTTTATAACACTTGCTGGGCTAGCCCGCCTCATGTGAAACAAATAACAACTTCGACCGGTAAAGTGAACCAGCCCGATTTAACTGGCCATGAGCTCGACTCATATGAACAGACCCTAATTAAAGAGTTCTGGACTTTGCCAATGCTTCCGATCCACTATCTATACGGATATTCAGCGCTTGCAAGTGACGTCACAAGACATAATTCACCACAATAAACCCGTTCGATAATTACGTCACGTATTGGTCTGGGAGCCTCATTCTCGTGTTTCAAGATGAACGGTGATTTGACTCGAGAGCGAGGTTCCCAAGCCGAAACAAGATATGCGACGTTTTTATCGAAAGGGTCTATTGTTTGACTTCCGCCATTTTGGGTGGCAAATGTTTAGAGCTAAATTAAAACATACAGCACCATTAGCCATTAAAATTTTACTTCGGTAAAGCTCCAGTTTATCGCTTTTATTTACATTCATTAATACGAATTCAGAAAGGTAATTTTTTGGCCGTCAGACAGTCGTTTCCTTTGCTGTCCGTCATTTTTGCCACCCGAAATTGCGTGATTTTTTAGCATGGCATAATATACCCGCGTGACTACAAGACCTGAATATACTTTCCTCTGCATGGGCCAACGCCAGGCTGTACTGTGCCGTGCGTGCTAGACTCAGGGATCACTGAACTAACCAATCAACGTCGCCATGCAAAGTATGAAGTAATGAAAGGACTCTTGTCAAAAATTTGATCTTTTTAACTCATTCATTGTTATGAATGAGCAATTCAACCTTCAGACAATCATGTGATTTTTTTGTTTCTCGTGTGTTGTTCACTGAGGTGAAGATATATGTTTGCGATCGGGGCAAATCCCCTCTGGAAATAGCATCACTTTGTGTAATATAACCCCTTCGTTCCGGGTTAATAAATAATAAATATCCATGAATTTCACATATGTCAAATTGGTAAATAGACCAAAAACGTCACACTTCAAACATTGATATTTAAACGTCTGCATGTTTGTGGTGTTGTCTCTGAGTGTGTCCACACTGGGCAAGCTCATTAGTTTGCTTGACCCCGGTGGGAATCGAACCCGCGACCTTTGGTTTGCTAGTCCAATGCTCTACCAACTTAACTTTCCAGCTTGCCCAGTGTGGCCCAGAGACAACATCACAGTATGAAGTAACTCACGAACGCCCTATTGTTTCAGCGCGTGGTGTCCACGCGTGTCGTGTGAGATACTATAATATTCCGCGTCTATCTCACTCTGCATTGCGAATCATGAATTTGAGTGAAATACCGTAAAAAATCACATTGTCACGTGGTACAAATGATGTCTTTTGATTGGCCTATTTGAATTTGAGGTATAATATAATGAATATATAAGCTTTGCACAAAATGAAATTTAAGGGTTTACGTCATGTCCCTAAAATCCCAGAAAATGTGAGAATAAGGCGAGTCGTCAACGGGGAGATATATACCCACATAATTAACAGAAAGATAACAGTGCTGGTGCAATGGTGAGTTATACAGCTGTAAACACAACGTACTAGACTGCCTTGTTCATTCCATTTGAGAAACGATCCCCGACGCCACCCACTCAAAATAACCCTTATTTGGAATTGAAGCACTTCACAGGTGAAAATGCTCATTTGATATGTGAAATTTAGAATTTTCACATATGAAATTTGAGTTTCACATGAATATTTTCACATGTGAAATTGAAGGAACACTGCATGCATACGTGAAATCATGTCGGGAAATCATGCACATGCAGTATATATGAAATTTTCAAAGCACAAGTTAGCAATATCTTACCATTAGTATATGACTTCCACCAATGCATTACAATAATTACACTAGCAAGAACTAATCTCAGAACACCACATATATACCCCTTGCTGATTCTGGAGGAATTTCCAATAATCAGGCACCGTCTGGTTGAAACACCATACCACATGGTCGCAATCTCCCACTATAATTAACAGGTACCAACTGTATCTTTCGAAGAACTAATCACGCATCGTCATATTCCCCCGCTGTTTCAGGAATATATACCAACCACATTGATTCCAATGATCAGTGTGAGCGAGAGAGTGTTCACGAGACTCTCCCTTCGGCTATTTTGCTGCTAAGGACACCAAGTACCAATACCAGGAGAAGCACAAGCATACGAGAGAGCGTAGACCATGGCAAGAAACTGGCGAAGACATGGCAGCTTCACCAAGTAGCAGAAATGTGCGTTCTCAACAAAACCAAACGGCCCAGCAACTTGAAAATGCAACCAGGGAGTTGTAATATACGTACAGTATGGATAAAATAAAATGTGGCATCGTGGACATTATTTGCACCCCTTCACTGTTTTTGCTAACTTGTTTCTCACTTTGTTAGTCTTGAAATTACTGATTTTTGTATTGGTATATTTGGGTCCCGGACACATTTCTCCTTTTACTAAATAGTTTTAATAAATTTGTTGTATTTGTGTTGATTTTAGCTACATCCTTTGTAAAAATAAAATATGCAAAGTAAAAGTAAATAAAAATATGGAAAGTTCTTTCTATAGCTTTGCATAGCAATAATACATTTTTGGCTTGTGGAAAACAACAAAATGTATTTTGTATGTTATTATTTTACTATGGCCTCTACAGTGAGGTCTACAGATATGACTGTTAAGATAACAGTCAGTAAGATTTTTTTGTACATGGTCTTTTTTAATTCATCAGTGGAAAAGAGTCCTAAAGGAGCTCTTAACATTTATGGGGGATGGTGTTATGTGACCAAGACAATAAATAATTAATCCCAAGATGCTTTGCAGCATATACATACATTACATCTCCCTTTCTTACTGAGAGAAAGTTAATAAATTTGCCGTAACATTACAGTCGTGCCAATTGAAGCGTTCCGAAAAATGTTGACCAGTTCATTTCCTAACTTCGAGGAGTTCCTCTGAACAATTCCTCAACAATTTGATAAGTTCCTTAAAAAGTTCCTAACTTCCTGTTTCATTGACCAATCAGATTGCTCAAAAATAAAATTTGATTGGTCAATGAAACAGGAAGTTAGGAACTTTTTAAGGAACTTATCAAATTGTTGAGGAATTGTTCAGAGGAACTCCTCGAAGTTAGGAAATGAACTGGTCAGGAAATGAACTTTCGGAACGAACTAGGAAATTAACTTTCGGAACGCTTCTATTGGCACGACTGTAATAAGTTTAAACGACATAAATATCAACAATTTTTTATAGCTATTCGGTTTTTTGTGTGTTTTTGAATCGGATGGCTATCTTTTCAATTTCTATTTAGTGCATTTCTCCTGACACCATGTTATGTAACCAAGACAATATATAATTAATTCCAATATGCTTTTCAGCATCTGCGTACATTACCCAGATGATCTTGATACGCGGAAAAGTACTGGCACTAGTTGTCAAATAGAAATCCATTTTATGATTAAAACAACTGAATATCTCCTGTAATATACTTTATTTCGATTCCATATTTTTGTCAGAGCTATAGTTCTCATAACCAAACATAATTACAAAATTTCAACTAGTTTCATAAAGAATAACGAAAGATTTAATTGACTGAATTCATCAAAATGGATTTCTATTCGGACAACCCTTTCTGAGCGCTGATTGGCTAAAATACGAACACGAGATCACCTGGACAGATTGTGGAAAATGGGTGGGAAGTGGGTGCTGGCAAATGAAGGGTGGGTTAACAAATGCGAGAGAGGATTGCATATGGAGAAGAAATGACTTAAAAGTTTGCAGCTTGTTAAATTTTGTACATTCACCCCAGTTTTCAACTACATTCGGGGGAGGGGTGGAGTGTGTGTGTGTGTGGGGGGGGGGGGGGGTTGGCGAA